AGGAGGCCCACTCGCTTTGACAATGCAGGGGAAACACTGGCCGTAGTGTTACACCCTACAACACTGACGCATGTAGCCGCCGCACTTGCGCGTGTTTGTGTCGTCATGACAACCACGCCTGTGTTGCTAAGTATAACAATAACACTAACAGTAAGATAACTTTTGCCTACATATGTTAGTATTATGAAAAACGCTGTCGGCTATATTGCCCGGCAGCTCGGGGCCACGGTCTTTCGATTGGCCTAAATGCATGGCAGTTTGACCTCTCTTTGACCTGGCTCGTCAGATCATTTCTGACTAACCCTAACCTCCCTAATTAAATGTTTTAATTAAACCACTAATAATTTTAATTTAATTAAAAAAATAGTTTTTAAAATTAATTGTTGTAAATAAAATCATGTAAATATTTTGCTGTTAATTGGAAAAAAAAATAGCTTAATACTGGCATAAAGGATAGGAAAAAATCGCTACGTGACCATCGAACTACTAATTTGATGGCCAGAAAATACAGATTGCTTCAAATATGTGTTGGCATCTCTGTGTTACCGTTGCAGAATAGAGAGGAGATGAAGTCTTGTTGACGATTTGACTGACACACGTCGGTGATCGTCGCTTCGGGGAAAAAAACTCCTGCGCAGAAAGACAATCTCAGAATCCATCATGGCTCCACCTGGTGAGTGTCTCTATATATATGTACGCAGGTTGGCTCCACCTGGTGAGTATATCCTATATATATCCCCCTCTGGGAATTTCAGAAGGTGTGTCAAGAAATCGGACAATTTGTAATCTGAATGCCAGGTGTTGAACCCTGGATGGATCGCGGATCGTCAGGAGATGGACAGGGCAAGCATGGGCAGCAGCAGCTGGACTCCAACCCTAGACCCTCCCCTCCCCTTATACACGTACTATGTATACTATGTATGTGCATATGAATCTACGTGTATATGTATATGTATGTATATGTATAACACGTTGTTGCGAGAAGGTATTAGTGGATAGCGTCTGTCGTGGCGGCTCTCGTCCTTTCTCGTAGCGCACAACGCTGGCTCTGTGCTGTCTGCTCATTCACTCTCTGTTCTCTCTCTCTCTTCTCAATTACGAACGTTTCTCTCTCTCGTCTCCTCTCTCAAGTCGTTCTCTCTCCTCGTCTGCTCTCTCAGTCTCTCTCTCTCTCTCCTCTTAGTCTGCTCCTCTCTCCCTCTGTGTCCTCCGTCTGTCCATCTGTCCTGTCCTGTCTCTCTGTCTCTCTTCAAATCTCTCGTCTTTCTTCTCTCCTCTCTCGTCTCCTCGCTCATCTCTCTCTCTCTCTCCATCGCCCATTCAGTCTCCCTCGTCGCTCTCTTTCTCCCTCCCTCCCCAGCTTCCCCCTCTCCCTCATTCTCTCTTACCATATGTGTTTGAGCACGGCCTGGGGAAGGTTGGACATGAGGAAGAATCCCCGAGCCTGCTCCCCGGTTGACGAAGCCATTGACGGATTCAGCTGTTGAAACTGATGTTCGTGTTTACCGCACCCAGCTCGTCCCAAGCGAAATTCGCCACGTGTCCGGGCCGACTGGCAACAAACGTGTTTATAGCATATACATATACACGTAGATTCATATGGCACATACTAAGTAATGTGTATCGAGGATAGGGGAGGTCTAAGGTTGGAGTCCAGCTGTTGAAACGCGTTCGTGTTTCCCAATTCGATTCGCACAACGATGTCGGCGGGCCAACGCATAACACGTGTTATAAACATACATACAATAGCATAACGATCCGCAATCCCCATACCAGGGTTCATAATCACCTGGCACTTTCAGATTACAAAAATTGTCCGGATTTTACTGAGGCACACCTTCCTGAAATTCCCAGATGAGGGGGTATATATAGGGTAATGGTATAACGTACCAGGTGGAGGCTAACCTGCGTCGCATATATAGCGACGACACTCACCAGGTGCGGCCATGATGGCATTCTGAGTATTGTCTTTCTGCGGCATGCACGACGTTTTATTCTCCGCGAAGCAACGATGCACCCGACGTGTTGTGCAAGTCCAATCGTCAACAAGACTTCATCTCCTCTCTATTCTGGCAAGCGGTAACACAGAGATGCCGAACACCTATTATGAAGCAATTCTGTGTTTTTCTGGCCATCCAATTAGTAGTTTCGACGGGTCACTGGTAGTGACCCGAAGTTTGCTAGCGTGGGGTCCGGCGATGCCCCAGGAAAATTTGTTAGATTCTGAGATGTCAATTCCCTGCAGTTCTGGAGGGTCAAAATTGACATTAAAATTGAAAAAAAAACTAACAATATATTGAGCAAAAAAATGGTTTCTTTTCGCGATCACAGTTGAAATTCGTCCGTTTGAGTAACAACTGGTCGTAGTGGTGGCAAAAGGAATAGAAATTCGTATAAAATACGGATAAATCGTAGGCGGGGTACAGGACGTTATTCACATGGAGCTACCGTAGAACCCAGGGGACGTACATGCATAGCGACGCATAAAAATAAAAAATAA